CAGTGTTAATATTTATTGGCATGTTTAAAAAGTGGTTTGACAAACAATAGTAAACGACTAACAACAACTAAACAAAACGCAAAACGAAACAAACTGAAACTCGGAACACAACAAGAAGAAGGATACTTAGACCGTTGATTTACATCAGTTGCTCAACGTGTCAAATCCAAGGACACCAAATGGTGGTCCTTAAAGACCCGATATCTCGCTATCCTGACGAGATAACTAACCTGAGAAGTTCGAAAGAGGTCTTTGATCTTCCAATGACCTTGCAAATGAAAGAATAATTGAACCACGTCTCCAAACGTGAAATTTCTCCCTCTTTCAAAATCCCAGTTCAAAAATATACAGTCAGGTAGTGAGAGTTGACCTTCAAATCACTTAAAACTTGTTAACTTTTGCTATATAAAAGTTAGCTGTTTTTACTGAAACTACATTCACAAACTGAAAGCCCTATATGCTACCACCACAATGGCTGCTAAACGCAATATCAGTAATCCGGACCACCTATTTTTCCCCGGTTTCATCATGATGTGCCTTAACCCTCGTAGTTAAAATTTCTATTTAATAACTGTTGTAAAGTACACAAAGTGNACATTCACAAACTGAAAGCCCTATATGCTACCACCACAATGGCTGCTAAACGCAATATCAGTAATCCGGACCACCTATTTTTCCCCGGTTTCATCATGATGTGCCTTAACCCTCGTAGTTAAAATTTCTATTTAATAACTGTTGTAAAGTACACAAAGTGACTACGATGAAATTGCTTTCAGAATGCTCTCCATAGAGTTAGCGTGAATATTAAATCTGCACATCCCTAACTGCTGGCCTAGCTCCGTTGATGGAATTTTTAATTAAGTTGGTATCTATTCTCGGTTTTCCTACAATATCCGCGACGCGTTTTTGTCGAGTATCGGCAATTTTTTTGTTACCGAGATCTGAATAGTTTTATCTTTATAATACGCTTCGTATACCATAAAGGAAAGATTTTTTTTACGCTAAATTAAAACTGAGATTTCACAATGGTGGTTAACTTTCTCGCCGAAAGCCAAATATTATATTCGCATAAAAAATAATTAAAATCAACCCCACCCTTGGCCGAACGCGCGAGGCACACATCATAAATTCTTCGTTTCTCATGCCCAACTACCGCAAAAACATTTTTTAATAACGGCAACAATTTCTGAAACAATTTTAATTAAAACTCTTGGGATGAAAGTAGCATTTACCGACCGAAATTTTGTCCACAGAATACCACCACCATACACGAGAATTTTATGCTAAAGAATGCCGCTGCCTGATATCGTACGCTCCATTAGATTTGATGTTACAACTACAAGTATGTCGAGATAAAAACCACAAAAGGCTATGCACGCCTAAAAGCGCTCTGATATTAATAAAATCATTCTTACCGTACATGTTCCGTTTAGCCTTTCAGACTAAATTTCTGTGCTAGGCAATATGCGTTATTAAATAAAAATAGCTGAGGATGCTTAACACCGAACGACTTTTGGATCGATTCTTTAACAGGATCCATTTGTAACTTTTAAGAAATGCATTAGCATAACGTCTGTTTTGAGTTACGCTCCGGAAGTTGGCTGAATTTTTAAATTTGAATTGCACGAGCCTAGGAGAAAGTGGGACAAATTAACGATTGTTTATAACTAAACATCGGGAACTTTGTGCCGGCTATCAAATAAATAAACAGTAGTAATAGGCTAAATCTACCCGTGTGTCGCTCTATGCTTACAATACACAATGCTACTGATTGCCATAAAAACACGTGCCATACACTCGACCAAGCAAAGCATCAAATGTACGCCCAACGCTCCTCAGCAAAAAACCTGGATTGTGCAGCTAGATACGTATCGAATAAACTGATCGATGCGAAGCTTCAGATCAAAGGCAGACATGCACATATCATTGTAAAATGGCATCTATTAACAACTTTTTTAACAGAGTCAGCCCTGTTCAAACCCAGCCTGCTACGCTACAGTCGCCGCTTCGCGTGTTTAAAACTAATATCCACCTTACATGAATTCACTTTACAGATGTCATTTTTCTGTGCCGATTACAATCGCGACTAGTTGTATGGCATTATGTTATGTGTATGCATACTTTACTTGTTTTGAAGTTTTAAAATAATACCCCATTGTAGGGGCATTTTATCGCTGAATAAATATCACAACGAACTAGAACGGTAATTTCAGCCGGAACGACATGCCGCAGCGACAATCCGTTTTTATTGGTTAATGTATATGTTTGTATTAGTTGGTGTGTGATGAGGTAAATGGTCAAGAAAATACATTTGTCTTTTATGTTATGTTTTATTCGGTTTATTTTTCCAGTTGTTATTTCAGTTGTTTACTAGATGCTGTTCATAGTGGTCGATTGACTGGGAAAATTCAGCTGCGATAAACTAATTAACATTTATGCATTTTAAATATTATTTTTTCAAGTGGTTTCACGTTAAAATGTGCATAGACATTAAATTATACATAAAGAAATTCCATTTTGTTGAAATAAAGGGTTAATTCCCAAACAAATCTGTTACATCTTGACAATGTTAACAGATGTGGGCGTACTACAGTTTGTCTTTTAGCAAAGTGTGTAATTGTAGGCTATTTATAGTTTTCAGCCAGAGATGCTCCTGGTAAACTGTAGGAAGAAAACATTTACGAGCTTATTTCGGCCCAGATGGCTGATACTTGTAGCTCTTCGGATATTTTACGGCCATTTAGTGAAATATATATCACGCCGATATTCAAATAAAATATGATATTTACGCTCGTTCGAAGAATTTAAGGAACGGTTTGTGTTATATTTATCGTATTGATTGCCAGGAAAAGATTTATTAAAACATAAACGTAAATTCTTTTTTTATACGTATATTTGCGATGATTTAGCAGACGACAAGGTTCTATTTTGAGTGATCCGCGGTTGAGGCAAATAAAACAGTACTGCGTATGATTAACCTGATACAAATGTATTATAGTTTATTTAACAAGTCTCAACAGATTGGTTTTCTTAAACAAAAATTGAGACTTAACATTAAGGCGATATATCGCATTGTATTAGCTATGTTCTTGCAACTCTCTTGGTTTCGACAATGCCTATGTATGTTTTCAGCCACGAAATTTGATAATTTCAAATATTTCGAATTTTCACCACCAAGAACAGCGATGACAGCATTTTTAACACTAAGGTGATGTTTCGCATTGTATTAGTTATGTCCTGTCCAACGATAAATGTTCTTGTGTGAATTTAAAAGTAAAATTCAGAGTCAAAGGAGACTTTTTTATATTTGGGCCTACCTATTATCCATTAGTAGACAGAGATATTTGACAGAACTCTTGTTATTGTTAAGATGTTTACAAAAGGGGTTTTTTTAAGCGTTGTAAGAAATTAACGAGCAAATACTTTTTATATATCAGACTCCTTTGTACAATACGTGTCCTACAAAAAAGTAGCACGGTAGCATACAGGGTGTATTATTGGCGTTGCCAAACAGGGTTAATTTCATTCATTAAAACGTAAAAATAACTATTTTTTCTAAAACTATTCCTGAGGGCACTACAATCCTTTAAAAATTGCACGTTTTAACTTAATAAATGTGATGAAAGTCTATATATAAAAACAATTATATTCAATTATATGAATTTTAAGTATCAGTAATAAAACATTTGCCAGCACCTAACCCTCAAATTGAAATCAGTGGGGGGAATTATTTAGGAACAATACCACATCCGGTTTTTGCGACCATTTCCGTATCTCCAGAAAAGCCATCCGTAGAATTTCGCAATTATTGCCCACATTCTAAAGATAAAGCCGGGACAAACGTCCTCACAAAACAGACGACACCGTTTTTCGAGCCCCACGTTCCGCTTGATATATTTTAATAACGCCCCGGCAACTGACAGCTAGAGAAATAGTAAACCCTAATCCCAGACATTACAATAGCCACGTTTTTGCCCACCGCGTCGTAATAAATGAGATGCGGCGACAAAAGTTACGAATTATTTTAAAGTGAAGTAGGTGGCGCGAAGTATGGCCGGACAAAGGACCTATTCGCACAAGTGGCGTTGTGTTTTTGATAATGTAACCTGGCAGGGGACGTAAATGGATGTATATGTCCTTTTTAGATCCCGTTGGAAATAATTTCAAAGCGCGGAGACTTGCCAAAATGTGACATAATGTATACATTTAAGGGGATTCTTACGCCAAATGAGCCCTGCGGATGATACGCGAGACGTGACGTTTGAAATTGAATTTGGGGAGGCTTTTCATTTTTGTAATGCCTGCAAAAGGTATAATGTAATAATTTTAGATGTGTTTATACTATATGTTAAAAGTTTAACTGCCATTACTTCAGCGTAAATGAAGTAAAAAGTTTCTAAATGTGTCTGGTTATAGAATTGGGAAATTTTATCACAACTTGGCAACACTGCGAGTCGAATCACTTGACTAAATTCTGAGGCAGGTGATTAGCATGCGCCAGACACTTTTTTCTCGAAAATGATTGGATTTAGGACCTATAAAACCCCATTATTCAACAGAAAAATTGTCTTTAGAAGAGCCTTATGGCCTGTCATATTTTACTTACGTCATTCAGCTGGAGCGTCGGCTGATTGCACCTGAAGCCGATGCTTCTTACTTCTGTGAACGGATTATTTCTAGATGTATTGATTTTCTATTTTATTTATATTTTTTGTGTCTATATTTTAGTTATTTCACTGTCAATTATTAAACATTGAATAAAAATAATTCGTCCACTGACCATACTTCTCTGTTGCAGGACGAAGAGTCATGAAGCGTCCCCACGCCGCCGATGCACCGGCCCAGATGCTCCTGATGGCGCTCTAAGCGCATCGGCACGACGTGTGACGGACGATGGGCTTCTGAAGACCCCCATAGCGTCCCAGTCCGACGCGCGGTGGGTGAGTGTACAAGGTGCGTGTCATGACGCGACAGTGACGGCGACGACGGCGTCGGTCGGCATGGACACTATCGGTGTATCGCAAGGCGTCGCGACGGCGACGGCGAGGCTCCTGTTGATCCTGGTGGTGGCGGCGCAGCTCTCACAGCCGCTGGAACTAGGTAACTTTTGCGACTTTGTTTAATTCTTCGCGATCGGAAGTAATTAGAACTAGTACAGCCATTGAAGGCGAAAATAAGGTAAAAGCTTCCAATTTTTTCGGATCTAACCTCCCCCACTTCAAAAGTTATATTGTCTAGATGTGTGCTTTTTTCTATTTGGGGGTGAAATCTACCCTTCTACGAAAAAAAATGCGAAAATCGCAGATTTACATATTTTAAATTTCCTTTCATGTTTTTTAATATAATTCATGAAATTTAATTACTTTTCAACGCTTAAAAATCCTTAAAACTACCCTTCCATGGCCAAAAAAATAGAAAAAAAAAGTTTTCAACCGTTTAAAATATTCTTTTGGTGCATTCACAATGTATTGCATTTCTTTTGTTATTCATTAGAAAGTTTACGACTCATTACAAAGTTGCAACCCTTAAAAACCAGTCCTTATAATAAAATAAACAAAAAAATATTATTGAAAGCTTGCTATTGCTTTTCAAATGATCTAAAATTATAATTGAGATAAATCACAAATTTGAAATTTAAATATTATAATACAAAATTAACAAATGTCAAAGGATGACAGAATTAAAGGTAGATACAAATTCGATAGTAGGATAAAAAAACGATAATGTAAATAAAAAAATTAATAAACAATAAATCAAGAAATTATCAATCAAAATTTATGTTATTAGAATCTAAGCATTGTAAATAGTAGATAGGAAAGTTGAAGTGAAGTGAAAGAAAGGAAGAGAACGTTATCAGAATATAAAGGAAGGTGTAAGGACCTTAAGGAATAGTGAGGATCAAGGGAAAAATAAAAGAAAGAAGAAAAGAGAAATTAGTTACAAAAAAAAGGAAGGTAGAAGAAAAAGTCAAAAATTGACGAATTTAGAATTATAATAAATTGGAGAAGAATAGCAATATTAAAAGGAATTAAGAAATTATATGCACGTTGTTGTTTAAAGAAGATTTAAAAAGTAGTTTTCTGCAAGATGGATCTAATATGTTCATGGATAGAAGTAGAATCCATATTACAGTTCCTAAAGATTTAAAACCCAGAATTATGAAAAAGAAAGTACATCATTTTATTATACTGCAGTGAGAATCCAATGATAGAGAATTGCAATTGTCAGTAAAGAGTAAAAGATCTGTGAATATTAAAACTAAGATAGACGAAACATTACAGATAGGAAGATTGAAGGTAAAGACTTGCCTTTAATAATATTTTGTTAAACCAGAACAAGTTATTTATAAAGAACATAAAGACAATTCATCGACAGATTTGTGAACAAAACTTTATAACAGGAACAGTCAAATAACTGTCAAGTATTAGTTTTTCTTCTATAATAAGGTGTTGGAAATTAGTTTTAGAGTTATAATATTTTAATTATCTTTAATTTAATTATCCTGAGAAACGGCGCCGGCTTTGTTTCTAAACCTTTATTTTATTATGCTTCCACCGCTGTATTTCTGCCCGAGAATCGTAAAAGTGCTTACCATTCAATACGTGAAAATTGCCACAGATTATAAGGACCCCGTCGATAGAATTACGGTGAAATATTAATGGGTAGATATCAAGAGATTTATTCCTTTTCCACTTAGTTGGGTATAAGAACAGAAAGCTATAAACATCTTGAGCGTTAGCGAACGGCAAGTAAATTATTAGAAAATAAGAATTACTTGAGTTGAATAAAAAGTAGACGTAGAAAGAAGAATTTTTAATAAAAAATTGAGAAAGCGTAAAACACCGAGAGACAGAACCTAAATGCTCAAAATTAAAACACAATAGGTGAGACAAGAAATTTTTACTAACAAATTTTGTAAGCGTATTTTTCCTATACATTTAAATTTTTGGCGCCCAACGTGGGGCGAGTCAAAATTAACATTCATAATAATTAAAAGTAAAAAACTAAATCCCATTCCTTGTAATAAATAAATAAAACTGTCCCATAACATAACTTCAATCATTGTCAATCTACCAAATAGTTCTCCTCATCCTGCACGACTTAAAATCTCGCTAATTATTCGTACAAATAACAGATCACTCCTGTACCGTTTTTCCAGCACATCAACTGTATTAGCGTTGTTTTTCTACACTTTACGAGCCCCCCAGTCATTAAAACCGCGAGCGGAGCACGCGAGTGCAGTTGCTGCTTGATTTAAATTCATAATATAAAACGAAAGCCGCTTAATTATGGAGGGAAATAGTTTTTCGTGTAAAATTTATGGAGATTAACGTGGTTTAATACTTCACTAAGCAGGCGTAATGTGCATACACGCGGTCTTTCATTTCCTAGGAAGAAAATACAGGGATCGACGTCGCGGGTGCGCTTGGTTCTTAATTCTGGGGTTACCCAAGCCATTTCGAATATGCAAGGCGTTTGCAGATATAGATGGATTTTTTTTATGGTTTTAATTTAATTTAATACTTATATCTTACTTTTCGTCGCCACGTTTTGTAGGTTCAATGCTGATCAGATCTTTAGTCCGCAGAGAAGTTGTTTGTTATAATATTATCAGTTATTAACTAGATATGTAACTAAAAAGCTTGTTCAATGATTTACTCCGAGGCTGGTGAGAATCCAGAGAATTGCCTGCTTAGTCGAAGAGTCCTAAACCAAATGGTGGGGGTTCTGGCAGGCCACTGCAGACTTAGGAGGCATTTAAGCTTAATAGGAATTGAGGAGGACCCTCTATGCCCGAAATGTGACGAAGGGGAGGACATCCCTGTCCACCTTCTGGGACAGTGTGCAGCCTTTGGGAGAATAAGGTTGAGGTGAGAGACCTTCCATGGACCAAAATCCTTGCGTTCATCAGGGCGTCGGGTAGGTTCGAGGAGGGTCAGAGGCAGAGAGTGGTTAGGTGATGGGACGGCGGGGTAGGCAAAAAGGGCCCACTTGTGGCCTAATTGCCAGGCTGAGGCCGCCCCTTTTACTACTACTACTACTACTACTACTACAATGATTTACAATCGATCCCTTATGCTTATTAAACTAGTTAGATCTTTCACTTTTAAATATGATTGTGTCATAACTATAGTACAAAGTCTGGAAAACTAGGATATTAGTTTGGTAAACATACCAAATCTTCAGTGTTTTGATACTACAATTATTGTGTACCCTATTCTAAATTTCTTTGTAATTCTTTCAATTATATTATAATAGTGCACCCCTATCTACCTAGCTCTAAAACGAAATATTTTAGATAGTTTGTTTTCCCCGTCATAGTTATTTGTTATACCCAGTGCGTGGTAATAAACACGAGAAACGCAAATAGCTCAGAATATATTTCATAAAATGGCGAATGCGCTGGGAATTAACTAAATCTGTAAATACCAGTTTATTTTTTCATTAATAAATTAAAGTAATAAACAACTTGACCTAAAAATAGTAATATTAGGTTGTTATTTGCTATTATTGTATAACACAGAAAAATATTATCTGTCAGTGGACAGTCGTAAATGCCAGAATAATCAGCGATTCTCAACAAGTTTTCTTTTAAAAAATCGGGCACATTTATATGAAATTCGACTATTTTATTCCTAATTTTTTCGAGAAAACTATCGATATGTATAATTGTCGATATTTTGAAGAAACGTTCTCTTTTTTTGTGGTGTCATCATATAAACTAAAATTTAAAAACCCATATTATGCTCAGGAACTTTTCCAACTCCCACTTTAAATTTTGCAGGACTGCCTGGTTACATACTCACGATATTATAAACGAGCTCACCCCCCGAATTGAGTTACACAACAGAGAGACTATTTCCTCGCTTTTTATTCCATATATCCCGCGCGACAACTTTTGTTTCACACAGTCGCGCCGCCCCCAAACAGAATTAACTCATACGCGCGGATCCCGAACCGAATTAAGCCGAAATGCAGCCGGCAAGGACCAAGGAGCTCGCCTGGGCGTCGTAATAAATCCAATTTCGCAACAAGTAAACTAATTTTCGAACCCGGTATCAGCCAGACGCGGGCGCGCGCTTTGCATTCGCGAGGGCCTTCGGCAGCGAGCGCAGCGAGTTGAACGTCGTCCTTGACAGGAGTGTTTGTACTATTCCGATGTGTATGGTTGGTTGCGAATAATTTCTATTACTTTAGGTAAACTATACGGTCATTTATAATGATTGGTATGTATTATAACACAGTTCTTTTTCGGACAAGTAGCCGTTGTGTATATGATATCGAGGATCTGGTTATCCTTCACCAGCGTGGAGCCACGCTCCCAAATTTCGTCTGAGTTCGTCCTCCGGCGTGCGTGATAACCATACAAAAATCTGCCACCACTTTGCGTTATTGTTTGGTCGTGTGTCGAGCTCCCGAGTTACCTAATATTTCCCACACCAGAAAGAATATAAACAATGCGTATTCCAGGGTGTGAGAGACACATAAAAGTTCGCTGCGAGGGGGAGGAGTGGTCTATAAATCAACGGGGTACTCACAGTTATTAGGTCGCCTTCATTAATTCGTAATTATGACTGCTCTGGCGCCCTTACAGGGTGGAAACTTGCATATAAGAGGTCCCCGGAACTAGTTCTCAAATATCATTCATGGTAATGATACGACTTCAATGTGGCTTACAAGATTTTGCTTGGGAAAGTACAAATTATTTTTTTCCCGAGTTTAGAACGCAAAGATAGCAAAGTAAGCAACTTTCGTAGGGGCAGTGTATTATTTTATTACCTTTTATGTTACTTTTGTTTACAAATATTGAATAACTTTGTAAAATAAAGAGTGCTATTCATTCAGAATGTATATTTAATGTATTAACATTCACGACAGCCAAAAAAAAATAACTCGAACTCTTTCAACGAAAGCAACGGTAAAAGCAAATTATAGTCCAACAAATCGGGAAGGCTTCGCCCTTCTATAAGCAACGTAGCGATTTTCCTGGCAGCCGTCGAGGGCAGCGGCAACGTGGCGTCTTAAAACTCGACTTTATTCGCTGCTTCTCAGCTCGAAAATGGCAACTGCAAATGAATATTCTCACAGCCTGCTGTCTG